GCCTTAAACTTGTTTGTGTAGCCCAGGTTGGCCTTGAACACACAGTGATCCTCCTGCCTCAACCTCCCAAGTGCTGGGATTACAGGATATGTCACAGGGCCCATTGTGGGAGAAATTATTTGAGAGTATCAGGTTATGAGATTAGAAAAATCAGGAGAATTATGGATATCTAACTCCAACTTTAGTAAAAACAAAACAAAAACAAAAAACACAGCACAGAGTTTAGTTGTGCATTTTAGAAGAATAAGCTTCCAAAATGTGAAACTAATTGCCACAGGATTGTTAGTGATCTGAGCTTATGGGAAAAATAAAAAACAAAACCTGATAACCTAAACTCTGAAAAGCAAGCAAACAAAAAACTAGAAGTCTAACAAGTGCCAAACTGTATCTCCAGTTCTTTTTTTATTCTGAGACGGGTTCACCAAATTTCCCAAGTTGGGCCCCATTGATCTTCAGGCTTCAGTCTCCTAAGTACCTGGGATTATAGGCAGGTGGCACCGTGCTGGGCAGATTTTTTTTACTTTTTAGTTCTGGAGATTGAACACAGGACCTTGAGCACGTTTGGTATAGGTAGCACAAAGTGGGCTCAGAAACCACAACCCTCTACCCATTTTGAGTTTGGGCAACATCCCAGGGTCAATCCTTCTTTCACTGTTCTAAAGAGGTAGAAAGTAAAATAATGAAGATCCAGGAAATCTCTAAAGTTCCAGTTCTCTGTGCCAGAGCACAGGAGTGTTAGATCTTCTGGCCTGACCTACAGTTACCCTTTCCCTACTTGGACCTTTGTTTTATGTTTTGAGACAGGGTTTCACTATATAATGTAGGCTGGCCTTGAACTCACAGCAATCCTCCTAACTCAGCCTCCCAAATGCTGGGATCACAGGTGTGCACCACCACACTTGGCCCCACTTGAACCTCTTTAAAGGTTCATAAACATGGATTACATCTCACATAAGCAATTTTTTTTTCACTTGGATATTGTCTTCAAATCACATAAGCAATTTAATCAAAGTGAATTCTGAGACATACATGCTCACTGAAAGACCTTGAGATATCTTAGGCCCCTGTCAATCATTCCTGTCCCAGTAAGACGCACTAGGGCTGGGGTGCATTTCTTTTAAAATTCCAAAACCTGATTTACCTGTGTGCTGTGCTTGTTTACTCTCCTGTGCTCCTAGCACCACTTTTCTTTTGAGCCTGCTCTGAGCAGATCTTTCAGTGATCTTCAATAAATGTAGCTGCCCTTCTTTTACCACTGGGTGCACACTTGGAATTATTTGCTCGTTGTACACAAGAGCCTAAAATTCATCTGTCGGATCTATCCCATAGTATCATGTTTGCTTTAAATACCTAATGTGTAGAAAGTAATTTCTGTTTTCTCTCTACAAGAATTCACATTTATGTCTTGCTTTCCCACAAAACAGAATGTACCGAAACCTTTTATACAGACTGCCCACAGGTAGAGTAATTGTAATAGAAAGAATAGGAAGGTTGTCCCAAGTGATTTTTTTTTTAAGAGAATAAAAGCAAATGAAATAAAACAGAACAAAGCCAATCAAAACAAAACAGTGAAAGCAATGCAGGACTTCAAAGCACAATAAAACCTCAAAACAATACACTGAAAATGACACAAGACTTTAAAACAAGGTAATAGGAAACCAACAATGGCTACCATAATATATCTTGTTATCTTTGAAACAGCTGCCCATGTCCCATAGCTTTTGAATTTCTAAATAGATTCAGAGAAAAAGTTTTGGACTTCAATGGCATAGCTTTGTCAATTTCTGTAGTTCTACATTTCCATTCAATTTCAGTTACATATAAATAGGATTTTGATCTAGTCACTGCCATATTTGTGTTTTAAAATAATGTTTATACTGTAACTTATAGTCTCTGAGGGTCTAAATCTGTCACTTATAGTTTCTACTGATACTCTTAGTAGTTTATTGGTTTTTGTACTTGATAAAAAACCTACTTTTTTTTCCCTTGAGACAAGTTTTCATTATGCTGTTCAGGCTGGCCTCAAACTCACAGCTATCCTCCTGCCTCAGTCTCCTGAGTGCTGGGACTATAGGTGCCATGCCTGGCCAGACCTACTGTTTCTTTTTTTTTTTTAAACTGGTATAGTGGATCAAACTCATGACCGCAGGCTTGCAAGGCAGGCACTTATGCCACTCAGCTAAATCCCCAGCCCCTAGACCTACTGTTCTTGAAGGAAAAATGTACTCAGTGTTTGTCTGCCACATTGCATGAGGAAGTTAAGGCATACTTGGTATGTCATGAATGCATTATAAGCATGGTGAAATAGCAAACCTTTTAGCAGGATGTTCACCACTACTTGGGAGTTGTTCTGTCTAATATGCTGGGGACAAAGAAATAAGTGTGACATTTGAATCAGAGGGCTAGAAATTGTTTGGATTAGAGAGTTGGAAATTATTTTATATGGTTAAGGAATAAGTTAGATTAAATGATGCTAAATTAACACTATAAATTAAATTGTGATCCCCTAGCCAGGGTGTGGTGGCACATGCCTATAATCCCAAGACTTGAGAGGCTGAGACAGGAAGATTGCTGCAAGTGTGAGGTCAACCTGGTCATCGTTCTGCCTCAACACTCCCAAAGCACTGCCACACCTAGCTCCAAAATATTTTTACAAAATTTATTTTGAGGTTGTTTTCTCTAGTATCCTGAAGGACTATCAACAGATTAAAGTTTATCATATTATGAACCTAAACAACCTTACAGAAAAGGACAGGGCTTAACAAATATTAACCTATGGATTGTTTATAACGTTGAATGCTTTATTCTACTTTTCAATCATCACTTGACAGAGAATGAAGGCTGTGTAGCATGGTGAGAATACTAGACTTGGAGTCCTAAGATGTGAGTTCTAATCCTGACTACGCTACTTTCTCCATCCACATGATTGTAACGCCAATGCAACTGACTTACATGGATGGTTTCTTGGAAGGGATGACTACGTAAGAGTCTACACAGAACATACAGTCAAGACTCAAACACCCTTTGAACTACACTGCAATCCAGATAATTTAATTCAGTTTGCTTTCAAATGAACATTCATTCATTTGATACCAGAGACTGAATCTCAGGGGCACTGAGCTGTGTTTCCAGTCCTTTTTATTTTTTTGAGATAAGGTCTCACTATATTGCACAGGCTAGCCTAAAATTTTGATCCTCTGATCTCAGCCCCTTATTGGCATTATTGGAGTATGTAACAATGTCTTCCCTAAAATTTGAGGGATTATACTGTACTTTATTCAAATTTATGTGAATATGGAAAAATATTTTTAAAAACATGGAACACAGGTGGGTGTGGTAGTGCATTCCTATAATCCCAGTCCTTGGAAAGCTGAGGCAGGAGGACTATTGCAAGTTTGAGGCATAATAAGTTCAAGACAGCCTCAACTGCATAGTAAGACCCTGTCTCAAAAAGGAAAAAAAAGATGGAACATGGAAAAATATACTCTTGTCATGTTAATATGGTACTTCTTACTGTGAAAATCTTTTCTTGTCACTGGGGATTCAGCTCAATGGCACAAGCACCTGCCTTGCAAGCGTGCAGTCATGAGTTTGATCCCCAATACAAAAAAAAAGGAAGAGAAGAAAATTTTTCTTTTTAATACAGTACTGAAAGTTCAAACAGAGTATTAGGTAAGAAAAGTAAGTAAAAGGTATTCAAATTGAAAAGAGGTAAAATTTTTTCTTCATAATGACATGATCCTGTAGGTAGAAAATGCTAAAGATTCCACATACCAATTCAGGATACCTTTTTCTAGATTTCACAAATACATTTCCACTTTATTTAAATTTTAATTTGCTGTATTTTAATTGGCAGCAGAGGAGGAAGAAATTAAAATAGCAGGCCTGTAATCCCATGATTGTGTATGTATGTGAAAAAGGGGTGGAGGACAAAGAGAAATACAAATGAACAAACAAATAAAAACCGACAACAACAACAAAAACAGATGGTCCTGGCTAATTTCTTCCAACTGGACCATCAGGTACATAGACCCTTTGGATGGATGCCTTTTTATAAATAAAGCCTCACCGGAACATGTCCATACTTAATCTTGTATCATTTCTATCTGCTTTTGTGCTACAGTGTCAAAGTTGACTACTTGTCTCAAAGACTGTAGCTAAAGAAGCATGTCTCTGAAGAGTACCATATAGTCACTGGGCATGATGGTGTACGTCTGTAATTCCAGTACTCAGGAGCCTGAGGGAAGAGGGTCACCATGAGTTCAAGGCTGGCCTGAGCTATGTAAACAGGTTCAAGGCCAACCTACACTACATAATGAGATCTTACCTCAAAAAACAAAACACATTAGAGGATGGTGCTTCACCTAGATGATTTTTTTCTCTTTACAAACATTATGTGCCCTAACCAGGTGTGGTGCCACACACCTGCAATCTCAGCCCTCGGACAGACTGAGGCAAGAAGATTGCAAGTCTGAGGACAGCCTGGGCAACATACTGACTTTTTGAGATCCTGTCTCAAAAAATAAAAAAGGGCTGGTGATGTAGCTCAGTGTAAAGGCCTAGTTCAATTCTCAGTACTTCACCCTCAGTAAAAATTCCCTAGACCCTGTATTGGTCATACACAGAGAACCTTAGGAGTGCCTAACAGTTCACAATCCCCAGGACAGTCCTTGTCCTCTGCCTGTGACGTGTGGGTGTATGAAGAGTCCAAGTTCCCCATTGAGACTAGAAGAATTCTGAGGAACATATTTCATTGTGGAGTTCATCTGTATGATCAGGTTGCGGCTACTCTTTACAGGATTTTGAGAGCTTGTCAAGAGCTCAGCCTTGGGTGGCTTCCTTACCTGCACTGACTGTCTTGCTTCTCCCTCTTCTTGTTACTTTTCTCTGGAAACACTTCCTTAATAAGCACTGGCACATAAAGATTTGTCTCGGGATCTCCTTCTGGGGAGACTGACTTGTGACCTCTAAGGAGAGGTAAAGAATTACTACAAATTTACCTTTTATAATTGATGTTGAGATTGGCAGTCATGACGATTCCTCTGGCTCTAAATGCACATGTACCAACAGTGGCATCGATGATGGCTGCAATGGCACCACCATGAGTGAATCTAATTAAAGAGAGGAGGAGAAATGTTTTCAGAAAACTCAGAAAACAGAAAGCCTCTCAAGAGAGGGGGGAAGTGATCTAAGCATTTTTATACATTTACATAGGAGAGGTCGCTTAGTCCCTGTTCAGTCTACTGAATGTCAAATCATATCCATGTCTCCAATGTTACCGTGTTTGTATCACAGTAGTGTGATCTTAAACACAATAAAATCACAACTTAATCAGATCCTAGCATGCAAAAAGCTAAAATATTAATTCAGAAAATCCATATTTTTACTAAATAAACTATACACATTCATCATTTTAAAATTTAGGATATGCAGATAAGTACATGAAAAACCACTACTATTCAGTCAGGGCTAAATGACTGTTCACATGATGGTCTCTCAAATTACACTTGATTGCCTTGTGTCCTACAATTTCATATTATAATTATATTAATAGAAATAATATGTAGTTTAACAATATACTATAAACATTTTTTGATGTCAATAAATATATGCCTATATTACTACTTTAATGTCTTCTTTGCATCTCTGGATACATTAGGGAGCTAGGAGATAAAATCTTTTATATCCACACTGTGAGGAGATTACTCTTACCCAGGCATTCCCTGTAAATGAGGACCTCCTTGAAAAAAGCAAACTACTCTATTTTCGACATCATTACAGAACATTACATATTCGAAGCCCAGGCCATCCTCAAAGCTTCTGGTGAAAAGCTGGGCCCCTGGCATTTGTTCTTCTTTCAGAAGCTTTGGGTCTGTAGAGAAATAAGTAGATAGGCACAGCTGGGTGAGAAGCTGGAAAGAAATGCCACAACAAACGTACCTGTACCCTGATAGATGTCAACAAGTAACTGATTAATATACGAACTAGGTGCAAGGCTGAAAGAAATGGGAAGGTGGCAAGAAACAGAATACGCAATCTTTGCCCTTGTGGAATTACTCGTCTAACTGGGGTGGACTAAACATACCTGAAATGAAAACAAAGTACTTAATCATACATGGCAAGCAGAAAAGTCTGTAAATGCTAACTGTAAACTGGATAAAATGACAAAGTACAAACAGAAACTCTTCTTGAAGTAATAAACATGGTTTAAATGACATTTAAAGAAAATGAATAATCAACAGTAACTCTAGCAGTTACTATTAGTCTTACTGAATCAGGAACAGGATCAAGTTTAATATTCCATGTGATTAAGATGCTAAGTCCCCCAAATGAAGATAGAACCACCACAGTCATGAAATCAAAATAGTTGGTTGCAATTAGACATTTCAGTTTTTGTTTCTTGAGACAAGGTCTCACTAAGCAGCTCAGGCTGGCCTTGAACTCGTGGGAACCTTTCTGCCTCAGTCTCCGAAGTGCTGAGATTACAGGTGTGCATCACCATGCCTAGCTACAATCACAGTTTAAAAAGAAACAGAACACACCTGGTATTGTGGTACATGTGCCTGTATTCTTAGCGGTTGGGAGGCTGAGGCAGGAGGATCACCATGAGTTCCAAACCAGCCTAGGCTACATAATGAGTTCAAAGTCAACATAATGAGATCTTGTCTCAAAAGAAAGAAAAAAGAAACAATACTTCACAAGACTTCATGTATATTCTGTAAGTACCAGTGCAACTGTTCAGATACAATTTCTTTATTCACAGAAGTACATGAAGGGTACGTGTTCTGGGTTGAATCAAAACATAAGCCACTTCAAAATAAAGGCCACTTCAGAAAAAAAGGAAGAAGGAACGAAAGAAGGAAGGAAAGACGGTAGAAAACAGAAAGAAAAAATGGAAATAGAGCTTATGCAAATGGAAAGGGACCAAAAGTTGGAAGGAACAAGGAGGGATCAGAGGGGTAAAAAAGAAGAATCAAGATGTGTTTGTTATGTACATGTACCGATTTCCCACCATAAATGTAATCATTATGTACTGCAAACATGCACTAATTTTTAAAATTTTATTTTTTTAACAAAAATAAAGGCCACTTCAAAAGCAACTTATGTAAAGAAAGGGTGTGTTTGTTCTTTCATATCTATTTTAAAAGTTAATCCTCTATATTCTTAGCTTTCTTTCATAGGTCATCATGATTGGTCATGTATAAAACCAAGTTTCTTTTATTTCTATTGAATTACATTTAAAAACTTCAAAAAGGGAGCTGGGCGTGGTGGCTCATGCCTGTAATCCCAGCCCTCAGGAGGCTGAGGTGGGAGGATCGTTTCGAGTTCGAGGCCAGCCTGAACTGCATAGCAAGACCCTGTATCAAAAAAGACAAAAATAAATAAATAAATAAATAAATAAACCCCAAAACTTCAAAAAGGATACAAGATGAGAACACCTGGGAGAAATGAGGCTAGGGAAGGATGTCTTTTACTTAGGCCATGATCCTGGCTGCAGGCAGCCACTCTTTTAGCTCATGTGCCCAGCTGGCACAGAAATGACAGTGTAGCATCTATGTGTTGGGAACTGGGCTGTGTCAGGGTTAAGCTGCTGACCACAGTGCTCTCTGCCTATGTTAAGTTCATATTCACAGCTTCTAAAGGCCAGATAAAACTCCAGTTGAGGACATTTGGCTCTCACTCCTATTCCAGGGCAGTAACTGACAACCTTAGGACAGTTCTCTTAATTAGCGAGGTGCATTCCTAGAATATCTGCTCTTTTTCTCCAGCTTTTGCCTCAGAGGTGTCCTCCACTTCTGCCACCATGCTAAAATTATTAAGGGCCCAATAAATATGGATAGTCCAGTGAAGTCTTTGTCTTAGCTCCAAGAGAGTTCTGACCTTATTGGATCTCCTACAAACTATACTGCATTCTTTTATTTATGTCTTCACCATACACTTGTCATAAGAGATCAGGAGCCTGGACAAACCCCTGATACGTATACTCGCAGTTGATGAGTAAAGTCATGACTCAGAGGGCCAGGCAGAGAAACTTAAAATTAGGGGTCAGTATTACAGGGTGGCAGTTAAGAACCCTGGCCTAAGAGTCAAGGGAGAGCAGAAAGAATCCTGGCCTACGGCAGTGAGGATGAACCTTTTAGATGAGTGCCCAAACTGCAACTCAAAACCACTTATTTATTGCAAAGTGCCAATACTGCAATTAAACCTGAATAGTGAGGTTTTAAAACAATTTATACATTAATATCTTTTTTTTTACATTAATATCTTTTATCTGAAAAGAAAAACAAATAATATGCATGCCATAGGTTCACCACCACTGGCCTTGAGAAAATTTTTGGTCTCATTCTTGCCTAGAACTTACTCTTTTGCTCCAGTTTATTCATATAATGAAATAAACCCAAGATCTCTTCTAACGCTGAGGTCAGGATGAAAAAAGTCAGAGCCTTCACACTGAGCTGTATTCCTAGTCTTTTTTTTTTTAAACAGGGCCTCAGTAAATTGCTAAATTGGGCTGGAACTGGCAATACTGCTTCAGGACTCCCAGAGAACTGTAATTATAGGAGTGGACCACCATGCCTAGCTCAGATCTGCATTTTGTGTCACCTGGACAGCTGGGAGTAAGAAGGGCTCTATGGAGGCAGGAGAGGTTAGAGGATCTACGTAACATTGCAAAATGCACTCTCCCAATGGAATTCAGCTCTTAAGTCATCAGTGCCATCCATGAAGACATTTCCGTACAGCTGATCAAGTAGAAGTCAGACTGTGCTAACATAAGGACTTTTAATTCACTGTGTGATGTAGTAGTAGAATAGAATAAACACTATAAATCAATTCCATTTTAAATTACTTATAAAATTTAACAAATCACTAATATTTTTTGTAGTGCGGGAGATGGAACCCAGGGCTTTATACGTGCTAGGCAAACATTCTACCACTGGGCTACAGCTCCAGCCCTAAAAAGTTAATTTTTAAATAACTTAATAAATTTAATCATTGGATTTAATAATTAAAAATACAAGTTAATTTTCCCTTCATTTACATATAGAAAAATTCTTAGCTCTATATTGAAAAGTTAAAAGAAACTTGAGAATTCTCCTATTTTTTCTTGGTGAAAGTAGTTCTCTGTGTTTCATTCATTACTTCAGCAGGAAGACTGAGGTATCAAAACGTAAAGTTCCTTGCCCCAAGGTCACATGGCTTTTAAATTGTTGAATCAGAGTATCAACTTAGAAGTAACTACATTTTACCATTAAATTAAGAAACTATTGGCTTCTGGATAGCCTCTGAGGCCACAAGACTAATAAAATTACCAAGGACAAATGCAGAAGGAATAATATACACTGAGTTATGCAGTTTGTGCTGGGTACAGGAAGGGTTGTCTTTGGGGTTTTAGAGTTGAAATATATGGGGTGACTTGAGTGTTCCAAAGCTTTTTTGGGTGATGGAGCCAGGTATTGGGACAAAGGCAAGACGAGATAATGACAGCCTCCAGACCGAGAGGTGACTGGAGGTGGTGGGTGGAAGCTCTTGGCCCCTTCTTCATTCCTGCTCATGGGGATGAGAATGCAGGGGGATAGAGCAGAGGGACTTCTTGACAACAGGCTTTACATTCTCCCATAATTTGAAAAATCTATTAAGATTTTTGGCTTATAAAAGCAGAGGCTAGGGGCTGGGGATTTAGCTCAGCGGCATAAGCGCCTGCCTTGCAAGCACATGAGTTCGATCCCCAGTACCGATTTAATAAAAAAAAAAAGTAGAGGCTATAAAAATCCTTGTACTATATTCCTTCTCAAGCAATAATTAGTACTTTAATCTGTTTCTTAGTTTTATATTTGATGATCACATATTATTGACGGGAAAGCCTCTGTTCCTACCAACATAATGGGTTTTGAAGTCTTGAAACTTCTGAGTTGAGTTTCGTTTGTATGAAGGCAAACGTTTCCACGAGCCCTCTTCACATTTCTTCATGAACTGGTCAAACAGAAATCGTAAGTCTGTGCTCCAGCTGGGGTTGGGGAGTGCATGGTCCTTGTCAATAACTTCTTCAGAAGCAAATGACCTCTAAAAGAAAAGAAAAAGCAGAGTAACAGGAGGCACATCCTATTTAAGAATATATTCTCATTTTCTAAGACCATCTTGCAGCCTTTCTTCTTCCCAAAAGAGAGTTATTTTGAAACTGAAGGGATCACTTGGTCCAACCTTCTAGAGAGAAGTGGAAGATTTAGAGATGGTAAATGATTTGCCCAACATCACTCAACTAGCTTTTGCCAAAGCAAATGAAGCCCAGATGAGCCAGAGACAAAAAGAATTTGAAGAGTAGACATTATCCCCAGTATAAAAAGTGCACTGGTGAGCTATGCACAAGAAGTTAGAGCAGAAGGGAATGGTATTCACTTCAGATGGGTTCTTAAAACCTGAATATTGATTAGTCAAGTGGGAATATGCCAAAGCTGGGTGTGGTGGTACACACCTGTAATCCCAGCACTCAGAAGGCTGAGGCAGGAAGAAGATCAGTGAGTTTGAGACCAGCCTGGGTTACACAGTGAGTTCAACACCAGCCTGAACTGCATAATGAGACTCTGTCTCAAAGGAGAAGGAGAAGGAGGTAGAGGAGGAGGAGAAGGAGGAGGAAGGGGAAGGGGAAGAAGAACAAGAAGAAAAGACAGAAATATGTTAGCTGAAAAGAGTATTATAGACAAGGGAAAACTGCAAAAGCAGGGATGCATAATACAGTTTTAAAAGTCCTTATCACAAGTATATGAAGTACGTACTGATTATTATCCTTGTTTTACAGATGATGAAATTAAGGGCTCAAAGAGAACTGCCACAGTGCAAGAGAAGGACCAGATGAGATGACTGCAGAGACACAAGCAAAGCCTCAAGAAAAACTAACTGGTTTGAACTGTGCCTGACATGCTCTCTGAGGTGTTCTGGTCTCTATTTGCAGTACTAGGGATGGAAGCCAAGTCCTCACCCAGCCTTTTTCTTCTTCTTCTTCTTTTTTTTTGGTACTGGGGATCAAACTCATGACTGCACGCTTGCAAGGAAGGCACTTATGCCGCTAAGCTAAAGCCCCAGCCCCTGCCTTTTTCATTTTTGAGACAAGATTTTACTAAATTGCACAGTCAGGCTTCAAAACTATGACCCTACTGCTCAGCTTCCCACACAGCTGAGATTACAAGGGATGCACCACCACATCTGGCCTCTGAGATTTTAAACAAGGGAGTGACATGATCAGACTTGGCTATAACATGAAAGATAGCAGGAGTGTCCAAGACTGTAATCAGAGGGCTCTGTTTGGAGGCTGTTCAGGTGAGAATCACAGCAGGATACAGCAGAATCTGGTGACCAACTGGTAAGAAAAAGGAGAAACACTAGAGCAAATTCTAGGTTTTTGAGCTGAGTAAGATGAATCACACAGCAAATTAAGAAAAGAAAGAGACTAAAATAGAAGGGGCTGGGAAAGAGTGGTTAGTGTCGCAGTAACTAAGGCTGGTCTCCATGGTATTTCTCTGCAGCACTGACCACTGCTGCTGTTCCAGTACTCAGGAGACAACTGGAATATTGTAGGCACCTTAGAGACCTTGACTACCAAGGAGCTGAAAAGGCAAACACTCAGAGACTAGACAGGAAAACTGGTTCTTTTGACCACTGCAGAAATCTTAGGACAGTTAAAATCATAGAAACCATCAACTCTACAGCATTCTCTTTCAGCACCATTATTACTTCATTCAGATTTGTGGCTACGGCACCTGGATTGTATCTCTGGGGCACAACAGGAAAGCTACACTTAACATGATGAAAGAACCAGCCTCCTGCTGACTCATGGGTTGGCTGCAATTTCAGAAGAACAGCGGTAACCTGCCTCAGGCACTCCGTGGTAGGAGGAGCAGGAGCAGAGTCCTAACTGTGATACCACACAAGAGGGGAAACACAACAGGGCTGTGACCATTCTGCCTTTAGCTCAGGAGTAGTGAATTTTCCATGTTTTGTTTTGATTGGCTTAACCTTTCGGAATGCAGTTGAAAAAATCTGGGAAAGAAAAACAGAAAAACTCTGCCTGTTGTTTCTTTATTTTTTTCTTCTATCTACTTGTTATTTCTTACTTTTTTCCCCCTTCTTAATGTAATAAACAGTTGGATTTGGATGTCTTTGTTCCAAGTATTTTTCCTCTATATTGTTCTTACTTTATGGCATCCCAATAAAAGTAGATGCTTGTGTTTTTTTGGCATAGCCTTGGGAACAAGATTTTTTTTTAATGGTGCTGTGGCTAAACTTAAGAGCCTCACTCATGCTAGGCAAGTGCTCTACAATTGAACTATATGTACATGTTTTGAGAGATCTTTAATGGGATAATGGTAAAGGTCATTCAATAATCTGTGTATTTTTTCTTACACTGCTTATTCCCTCAGATGTAGCCATCTGGTTTTATTTTTTCATTGAAAATTGAACATATTTTGGGGATAAAAAGAGACAATTTGCTACATGTATGCAATGTGTAATGATCAAATCAAGATAATTGGCATTCCTACCACTTTAAACATTTACCATTACTTGGTATCCAGAACCTTCAAAATCCTCTCTTCTGCTTCATAAAATGTGATCAAAGCCGGGCACCTATAATCCCAGCACTTGAGAAGCTGAGGCAGGAGGACTGTTGAAGACCAGCCTGGGCTACAAAGTGAGCTCAAGGCTAGCCTGAATTGTATAGCAAGACCCTATCTCAAAACAGCAACAACAAAAAACAAAACCCCAAACTGATCAATTGTTATAAGCTTGCTGGGCATGGTGGCACACACCTGTAATCCCAGCACTTGGCAGGCTGAGGCAGGAAGATCACTATGAATTCAAGACTGGCGTGAACTACATAGCAAGACACTGTCTTGAAAAAACAACAAAACAAAAAGTACAAACTGTTACATAGCTTCCCCTACTGTGTTGAAAAACACTAGTGTACTTATTCTTCATGTATAATTATATTTTGCTACTGGTCATCTACCTTTTCTATTCTCCCTCCCTCCTCTAGTGATCACTACTCTACTTCAATAAAATAAACCTTTTTAGTTTCCAGTTAGGATCTTTAAATATAATTTTTTTTAGATATACTTGTAATCTCAAAATTTCTCAGCAGAAAAAGTTCTTTACATCGATGTATTGTACTTAATCATTTTTACTGTCTCCAGCAAGATATACTAGAAGGATCTTGAGTTAAAGGCCATCTTAGGTTATACCATAGTGATACCCTGTCTCAAAAACAAACAACAAATTTACAATCTTTTGCTGCTCGAAATGAAAACATTTATCCGGACATTATGAGTATAGTGTTTTCTCTCTTTTGGATTATTTCCAATATAAACTCAGTCCCAATAATGTAGCTTTTGAAGTTCATGAATTCTAGAAATAATCCAACAAATACAACTTGTCATAGATTAATATGCACTGACTAGCATATGGCAAAGTGAGGCATACAGTGTGTACAGGCTTTAGAATTATGAATTTAGGCTCATCCACAGTTCTCTTAACTAGGCAACTCTAGGACTGACCAGTTCCAGTGTTCTTTCCTGGACCCATGAAACACACCTAACTGAAGTCTTTCAGAAATTAGAATCATGCTTTGGGCTCTCTTCCTTGATTTGAATTAAAATCTTTTAAAGTCGGGGTTCATCTAAAGCAACACTTTTTTGAGGTCTAGTTCAATACCAGGGATAGGCAAGACAGAGAAGATGCAGGCCCTGTATGTTGTGGGAAATAAAAATAAAGTTTCAGGTGGTAGACAGCAGCCGTTCAAGGGGGAGAACCAGCAGCAGCAGCAGCAGCTCCTGAGATCCACGCCATGTTGGAACTTAGGACCCTGGGAAGCCAAGCAAGCACCTCCCCTTCCTGGTAAATGGTGGTGGTCTGGCAGACTGCGGCCCTTCCAGGGGGAGAACCAGCAGCAGCTCCTGAGATCCACACCAGGTTGGAACTTAGGATGCTGTGAAACCAAACAACCAGCCTGCCTCCCTGCTAAGCAATAGTGGACCTAGTGATGCATAGTCTAGAGTCAAATATCCCACTTCCTCTATTTCCCCCCCACCCCATTAGTAAATGAGAACCAAAAATCTGAGCATCTCCTGGGAGGTTGACCATAGCAAATAAGGGGGACTTCCTTCTACCATCTCTTTGAAGGCAAATATTTTTATTACTGTTTTGCTCTTTTCTGATTAATGGTACTGCTCTATTCAATATTGTTTTGATAAGTTCTATAGTCTTCTATATTTCATCTCATTTTGATATATGTGATTGAAAGAACAACTATTATAAAGATAAAATATACTGTGATACCTATTACTGTATCCTGGTAACCTGCTGTGAAGTTCTGTACCAATTTCACTGTACGATCTTAGTTGGCTTTATTGTGTCTTGTTCTGTTGTATACTTTCAAAATAAAATTTAAAAAAAGAAAGAAAGAAAATTTCAGTTCATGAAGGTGGGAACTAAGAGACACCCGAAATACATGATTTTATAAATTAAGATAGAGAAATGAACAGGATCCCCAACAAAACAAATCAGAAAAGGGGGACTTTAATGAAACCAGTGTCTCCATAGGGGATTCACATACTCCCAAGAACACTGAGCAGGGCTTTTCTTTTCCTCTTACAGTTTCTGCAGGAAAATCTCTACTGGGCATTGCGAAGGGAAAAAACAGGTCAGAAGCAGAGCAGTGGTTAGGGGAATGGCAGAACTTTCCAGAGTCACTGTGCTCTGCTGACAGGACATTATACCTGTACCATACACAGCTGTGGCCATAACCACCAACTTTCTTAGGGAGTTTTGCTCTACAGTTAACCCATAGTTGCCTAACGTCACCCCAGAGGGTAGTCTCCTCTCTCAATTATACTCAAGGAATAAATGTTAGGGATAATCATTACCTTTGATCATTCTAAATAGGGGAAAAGTCATGCTTTGTTATGCATTTACAAGAGAAAACCTTTGACTTTGTTTCCTTTTAAGTTACTGAACAAAGAGCATGATTTATAAAGACTGTAAATACTATTAGTCTCAACATAGATTATAAGGTACCAACATATAATTAAAGAAATCAATTCATCTTTATTGTAAGCTACACAAGACATTTTCTTTTCCAATGGGCAAGATGGTACATGATTAGTGATCAATCAATACTATGTTTTTGTACTAATTCTGCACCAGAAGACCACAATAACTTAATAGATGCCACACATAAACTTTGCAGAATTTGACCCTATTATCCTAGATTGTAAACTCCTTTACAGAAAGAACTGTTTCTATATATGTGATGGAACTAACAAGTACAATGAACATTTAAATTTTCTGAAATAAAAGACACTGTCATTAAGCCTCCTTACAATACTCCTTTGAAATTCTCCCTATCATTTTGAACACAGCACATTGTTCTTGCCACTTTGTGAAGCAGTTTTAAAGTCCTCTTTCAAGAAAGTCTCTAGCTGCACAGTTGTGGCTGTTTTCTTAACCTGAACTGATTCAAACATTTACCTTTCACCTTTAGTCATTTTGACTGAGGAAAAGCCCTAAGTTGGACAGTACAATATCCGGTGAATGAGGTGGGTCAGGACATACCATAATGTTTTTAGGAGGCTGCCTTTGTAATGCAGCAGCATTCCTAACAGTTTTGATAACATCTCCTAAAGACACTAGACAGAAGACTTCCAGAAATACTATAGAAACTGCTAACAATGATGGGAGGTCTGTTCAAAGCAAGGGGAAGTATTTTTACAGGGATTAATGGTAGTATGTCTCTTCTTGTATAGTATAGTGGCCAGTAATGCCACTATGAATATTCTTGAAGCTTAATCAATGTTAATTAAATACACCGATGATGCAATACATAGGGATATAAGAAGTAACATTTTTTAAAAAATTTTATTTAAAAGGAAAAAGAAAAAACAAAAACAAAACAAAGCGGTGTAAGGGTACAAGTAATACAGAACTACAAAAAAAAAAAAAAAAAACAGTAAGAAATCACCAGTTAATAGATTACATATTATCATCTTAGAGATAGTTGCTCAAGTGAAGAAGTAACATTTAATAATACTATCTTTCTTGTGCTATTGCATTAATCTTGTAACAATCTTTAGAGGTCAGGGAACTGGTTTACACAGGGTATTATGGGTCATTTGAAATTCAGAAGCCTTCTACCTGTTCCCCAATTGGTCGTTATTATCAGAAATAAGATTAGTCTGAGCCTATGAGGATTAAATCACTGGAATGGATGGACAATGCTCCTCTTTTGAGAGCTGTAAAGGTTGGGCCAGACAGTCTACGTTTAGGGGCCACCTCTGCCATGTATTTTCAGGGTGACCTTGCTTAACTTTTCGTATCAATATAAGTACTAGCAATTGTCCTTTTCCTAATTACCAGTCAAGCATCCCGCACTGCTTCAAAACTGAATCGCATGCCTGTAATCCCAGCACGCTGGGAGGCTGAGGCAGGAGGAACACAAGCTTAAATCCAGCCTGGGCAACCTGGCGAGATTTGTCTTAGATTCTGGGTTCAATTCCCCGTACTAGAAGAAAAAAATCCAACAACAAATAAACAAAAACCTCAACAGAATAACCCTACTGTCAGTCTAGACAGTGTTTGGGCTTGACTCGCTGGACTATTACTCTCGCTACCCTGGAGCTGGGGTTAGCTTTTATTGGGAGTTGGCCGGCCGAGGGAACGAATAAACCCGGACCCGCGACCAGGCTCGTCGGCCGGTGTCGCGCACATCCATCCGCCCAGGCCCTCCGCGGCGCCCGCACTCACCCTTGCTCCTCTCGGCCCGCCACCGGGCGGAGGCACGCGTGTCCGACGGCTCCCAAGCGTACGCAGGCGCGCGGCGCAGCTCCTCAGCATGGCTGGGTGCCGCGGCGGACGGGCAGCGCTTTCTTGCAGGCGGCCGGGAAGGCTGGCGCTTCCCTCACACGCCGGCAGCCCGAGGCGAACGCCTGAAAAGGGGGAAGGTGGGGGGAGCCACCGGGCGGGTAGCGCCACCCGGGCCCGGGGGCGTGGCTCCCGGCCGGCTTCCAGCTTCCGCCTTTGGGCTCTGCCGAGCTGCTCGCCCAATCCCGGCGCCGCGTTGCTTAGCTCTTAAGACCAATGCAGGCTTCCGTTCCGGAAGGAAGATTTCCTGGGACTTCTCCCTCGCGCTGCCACAGTAGCGGTCACCTCTCTCATCTGTCGTTGGCAAATCAATGCTGTTTGTCCCCAGCTAATTAACTCGCTTTCGTGTGGAAGACTTAATCCCTCGGGCAGTCCCTAGGATCTAGTTGACAGTTGATTTCTAGGGCGCCACTGGTGCAGAGCGGGTATGGGACTGAATGCGGCTCTCCCTGCCGCCGGCGCGCTCGCTCGCTTGCTTGCTCTCTCGCTCGCTCTCTGAGTAGGGATTTGTAGGCCGTCTCGGAGTCATACTTTTACAGACAAATCCTAAGAACAGGATGCTCCAGTTGATTGACTTTTAAAGGTTCGTCCCTAGCTTTGCTGACAGACATGGGCTCAAACTACCCTCTCTACTGCTAGAATTTTCTGCGCGGCTAAAATGATAAGTATGAAATAAAAGTGGCCTTATTTTAAGAATGTAGAGAGAAACTCCATGGCCTCCAGGGTCTGGCATTCTCTGGCCCACACGTGGTGTGGGGGCATACATATTGCTTAGGTTTGGGGTGGAGCCTAAGGGGTATTACTGATGCACTGAAATGGAATTCATTTCCCGCCACAGGTAGGGTTTAGGGGCGGGGAAGATGACTTCAAGATAGAGCCTCTTGGTTCCGCCTCCCAGCCTCCCACCGCTGCGGCTTCCCATCCAGGGCACAAAATCCTTTAATCTATCACTGAATAACTCCCTGTACAGAGACTCTTCACTTGCTCCTGGCCTCTATTTCTTTCTTTGTTGTGAGTACTAAAAACAGTGTATTACATTTTAGCTCCGTAATTAGATGTCTGTAAAAGTGAGTGCGCAGGGCCACTAGTGCAACGGAGTTAGTTTGTACAGTGTTATAGGATGCCGATTGTTAAAATTTCAAGAGTGTGCCTCGCCATTTTGTAAACATTGACATACTAATATTATTTGGACATTATTAATATTTTTTGGTACCGAGGATCGAACTCATCGGCAGTATTAATATGTAAGTTGTGTAACCACAAGTGTGATGTGCGCCTTATAGGCCTGCCTACTTGGGCGGCTGAGACAAGAGGATCACCTGAGCCCAGAAGTTAGGAGTAGCCTGGGTGGTCTACAGGGTTAAAGTCTGCCTCCAAATCAAACAAATCATATAGTTATTAAATATTAAAAATAAAGTTAATTGATTATAAAAACGTAATAGGTACTGTGGGAAAATTTATAAAGGCTAAAAGGGAGAATTTAGGTAAGCTGCTTGGTTACAAAGTTGGTTGGTTTTGCAGATCTGAGCCAGAAGCTGGCATCAGCTCACTGGTGGAGCTGTCTGTGGTGGCTGAGCAGTCTCTCTCTCTCTTTTTTTTTTTTTTTTTTTTTGTCTTTTTCCTTATGCCGCTGAGCTAAACCTCCAACCCCGGAGCAGTCTCTTTCTAGAGCATCTAGGCTGAATTACTAGAGTCTTAAGGATTGTGGGCAGTTAGGGAGGAATGTCAGTTTGATTGGCTTTGGGATCTATCCCAGGGATTAGTGGAGCACACTTCTGGGTGTGTCTGGGCAGTGGGTCATGGGGGTGTGACTGAGATCTGATGAGGGACTCTGTCCCTTTCCTCTCTGGTGCAGCTTCCTTGCTGCTATTTTTTGACAGCCATAAATAGAGCAACTGTGCTGCACCACACCCTTCTGCTGTGCTGCCTTTGCCTTGGAGTCACCTGACAGTGGATTGAAGTTCCTTGAAACCATGAGCCAAATGAAGACCATGTCTTTAAATTGCGGGTTCTGGGTGCTGTGGAAAAGCTAATAATACAGACTGTAAAGACAAACTTGATTACAAAACGCTGTGCATACCTGGCCATAGTGGCGCATACCTATAATCCCAGCACTTGGAGGTTGAGGCAGGAGGATTGAAATAAATTCGAGGGCCCTGGTACCGATAAAAATGAAAAAGACCAAAAAAAAAAAAAGAAAGAAAGAAAGAAATTCGAGGCCAGTGCATTCAAGGCCAACCTGAACTGCATGATGAGACCCTCCCTAAAATAATAATAATGCTAATAACAATCTGTGCATATGTGTGAGGTATGTGACGTGTAAAGTGCCTGTAAAATAAGAAGGTATTTCATGGAATACGTGACAAACATACATAGTCTTTCCCTTATTGCTCTGCTCAAGTTTTATCTGCTCCTGATAGTAAGGATTTTTGTCTCACTTGGAATCATGCTAAATGGGTTTGCATCCTGCTATATTAAACATTTATCAGCTTAGTGGGCCAGGGATTTAGCTCAGCAGCATAAGCGCCTGCCTTACAAATGTGTGGTCAGTCGGGAGTTTCATCCCCAGTACCAAAAAAAAAAAAAAAAGGAAGGAGTTAAACATTTATCATCTTGTCATAGCCCTAGCCCATCCTGAAAGGAAGCCTACATTCCAGGTTTGATGTCATTTTTGTCATATTTCTTTGTGTTTGGGGTTCATTGAGATTCTTGTGTGTTTGGAGATATGATTTTTTATTTGGTTTTTTTTTTTTTTTTTGTGGCATTGGGGATTAAAACTAGAGTCTTTGTACTGAGCTATATCCTCAACCTTTCTGTAAAATTTTAGAATTTTGAGACAGAGTGTCTCAAAATGGCTACATTGCCCAGATGAGGCTTAAACTTGAGATCCTTCTTCCTCAGCCTCCCAGAATGCTGTGATTACAGATGTGTGTCACCCCACCTAGCTGATACATAGTTTTGATATTTCAAGTTTGGAAAATTTTTAGCTATTATTTTCAGTTATGTGTTTAGTTATTCCTCTATTTCCTTTCCTTGGAAAAGACCAGATACTTTAGGCCACTTGAAAGTGTCTCAGAACTCAGTGGCACTTTATTCTTTTATATTTCATGTACTCTAGCCACGCAGGTAGCCTTTCCACTCCTGTTTTTGGGCAGGCGCTTTGTGGCCTCAGGGCCTTTTTCTGTGTTGTTCCTCTGCTTTGTGGTACTTTTGTTCTCATTCCTTCCCCAGCCAACTTTTACTTTGGTACATGGTTACCACTTTCTTTGTGAGGCCTTCCCAGAGCACGGTCCGATGTTATACTAAGTACATTATATACATGGTTTCATTTCATCTGGATTAGGTTTTTATTAGGTTTCCCAGTAGCTAAAATTTCCCTGTTAAAGCAGAGATCATAGTTTGTAATTCATTATACATTTAGGTATTCCCTATTTCCCTCTAGAGACTACCAGTTCTTCCTGTGTCACTTTGGCTGGCTTCTGCATCCCTAGACCCTAGCACAGATCCGAGGCATTCAAAAATAGTTGTTGAAGCTGGATTTGGAGGTTCATGATTATACTTGTAGCTACAAAGAAGGCTGAGGCAGGAGTATCACTTTAGTCCAGGAGTTCAGAGCACCCTGAGCCAGATGGTGAAGCCGTGTCTCAAAATAAAAAATAAAAATGGCTGGGGATGCAGTATAGTAGTAGAGCACTTGCCTAGCATGTGCATGACCCTGGGTTCAATCCCCCCCCCCCACCACCACATACACACACACACAAAAGTTGTTGAATACACAAATGAGAAGGAAACATGAGTGCTGTAATCTTTTCTCTGTCAACCCTCTCTCTAGGTCAGTGCTGGGGAACCTTTTAGAGATGAGTGCCCAGACCGCACCTCAAAACCCACTTATTTATCACAAGTACCAACACTGCAATTAAATCTGAATTCTGAGATTTTAGTTTAGAAAAAACAACTCTGCACTAACGTCTTTTGTCTTAAAAGAAAAACACAATAATGTGTCCCATTGGTTACCAGCACTGCTCTAGATTATCTCTTCATTCCTGTGATTTTAAATACTGTCTGTAAACTGATGACTCCTGACTTAAGTTCAAAGCACTTAACAGAACAATCATGTGCGATAACCATTATTATTATTATTATTATTATTATCTCTATTTTACAGCTGACACACCTGGGGAAAATTATATGTTCTCATGCCATCAATAAATTAATTTGGGGAACATTTTGATACATTGCTAAGAAGTTCTGCTATCTCATTCTTTTCACAGAGTGCTGGCTCCATCTTTTTCAACTTTGCATTTGTTGAATTCAGAGTTAAAGGCTTCTACAGTATTTGTTATATAAAGGATACCTGGACTGTACTCTAGGAGGCTAAGGAAGGAAGGTTATATATTTGAGCCCACCCTGTAGTATTTAATGACTTAGCAAGACCCTACCTCAAAATAAAAAAAATAAGATGGGCAAGAGATGTAGTTCCGTGTGAAGGCCTTGGCTTCAACCCCCAGTATAGAGTGGGTTGGAGTGGGTTGGAGCTTGGTAGATTCCTGGATTACTGGGCTAACCAAACTGTTACATGAAGATTATGGGATAGAATTAAATGGATAATAGGCAGCAATTTTACAGAATTCTGACTTAAGAAAGCTTAGTTTTGTGTTGGTATGCTCAGTAAGAAAAGCACCATTTTTAAATACTCTAAATGCTCAGTGTAGATTTAAAGACAGTAAAATGTGGCTGAAGAAATCTGCTCAGTAGTTGTGAGATTACTGTAGGCTATACTTCTTTTATTAGTATATAAAACAATTTAAGATTAACACTCCTCTAAAAGCCTCAAGAGTCAAAAAAAAAAAAAAACTACAGTAGATTAGCAATAAAACTGTTGGCCTGGGGGCAAGTTTAGTGATAGAGTGCTTGCCTAGCTTGAGTCTTAGAAGGAGGAGGGAGAGGAGGAGGGAGGGAAAGAAAGGGGGAGGGAGCGGACAGCATATGCTATCAAGCAAGGAGACTGTCCCTGTGTGAGCTACTAAATCCCTGAGAGGTTAAGGCTGAGCTAAATATTGACGGACAAAAAGGAGTTGACCTAGTATACTGTACCCAACCTATATTAAAGGATAAAATGAACCCTTAAAACTTGAACTGCTTCTCCAGATTTCCTCAGGCAGTGTAAACTCCCCAGGAAGCTCAGTTAAAGGAAGGAAAACTAGCCCTCTGAAGGGAATATGCTGGCCCCAGGGGGTCTGGTTTCCTTTCCCTTAAAGAGTAAAGAAGCCTGGGGGTGGGGGGTGGGGAGCTCTGCATTGGAATTTCCTCCTCTATTGTCTCATTGTATTTCTCTCCTCTTTCCTTACTTGCATACCCTTGCATACCTAAGGGGGTGAAATAGAGACCTGAGGAAGCAAGAGGCCTCTTCATTTCCTTCAAAGCTTGTTTTGAGTGGCCTTTTCCTTTTTCATGAGATTCATAGCCTCTGTGTTCCTTGAGGGAACTGCAAGTAGTATAGCTCTGAGCTCCCTGTAACTAGAAGAGGCAGAGAGGACCATGCAGGTGCCCTGAATCCCTGATTCTCCATGTCAGCAACTCTTAGGGAACTCCTGCTGGTTTCCATAAGGTCTGGGCCTGATATAGGAGAAAATATAATTCCCAACCCGCTAGATATCAAATGTGCTGAGTTCATGTCCCCTGAAATCAAAGAATGAATTTCAAAAGACAGAGGAGATTAAGAGTAGGGAAGGTTTATTGGGGAATAAGAATGGCTCCTGAGACCAGAGGGATCCTAAAAGTGGATTGCCACTGAGGCCCTTTGTAATTTATGTAGCAAAGTCACAAAGTGGATCAAATGATAATCAACCTATAGGATTACAAGTATAGCTTCTTAGCTAATATTGCCAGTAGAGAAGCAGGTCACATAGCAAGGGTAAATGGAATGAACAAAGGCATTTTGGGGAAGGGATGGTTCCAGATGCTGTGGTCACCCATTGAGTAACTGATGTCTCTCTGGATTTTACTGGACC